CCTGGAGCCTCCTCGGGGTCTTCCACACAGGTGCAGGGTCCCAAGGCCTTGGGCCGTCCTTGACTGCTTTCCCAGGCCACAAGCAGGGAGCTGGATGAGAAGCAGGGCAACCAGGATTAGAACTAGTGCCCATATGGGATCCTGAGGTGCAAGGCGAGGTCTTTGGCCATTAGGCTACCACAGTGGGCCCAAGGGTTGGTCTTGTTGGTGTTCTGCCCTGCTCCAGTCCATGAAGACTGGGACAGTGGGTCATGGGGCTGCCTGTGAGATGCCATCCCTTGGCCTCCACTGACAGGGTCTAGGTCCCTGCTTGGTCAGGTTTCTTGTCTGGAATTCATTAGAGATACTGATACTCTTTTTCTTCTGTGCATCTTTTAAAACCATAATTCTTTTTACATTTTTAAAAAAGATTTATTTATTTTTATTGGAAAGGCAGATATACTATCCTCCTTGTAATGGCACTTTTTTAAATTGGAAAGTCAAATTTATAGAGGGGAGAGACAAATTCTTCTGGAGCTAAGCCACTCTGAAGCCTGGAGTTTCTCTCATGTGGGTACAGGATCCCAAGGCTTTGGGCTATCCCCACTGCTTTCCTAAACCTAGGAAGAGAAAATGGAGCAGCTGGGACACAGCCAACGCCCCTGTGGGATGCTGGCACTTGCAGGCAGAGAATTAGCCGCTTGAGCTGTTGTACCAGCCCCTGTGATGATGCTTTTTTCTGGGTTAGAATGTCTGATCCCCTGCAGCTGCATGCAGCAGTTAGAACACTGGAACTCCTACAAAAGGACTGTTTAGGAGGAATTTTAATGACATACCTGTTGAAACTATCTGGTAACCAATTCAAGAAAGATCTATGTAGGTACATGAATAACCTGGTTTAAGTTCCTGTAATATTACTGCTACGCGTTATCTGACAGTAAACATCTCTGAGAAACTAAACTGTGTGGGAAACCTGAAGTGTCTGGCCCAGTGGAGACGGATGGTCCAGCACAGGTGTGTTCTGGCCTGAGATTTCCTGCGGGGCTGTGGACTCCCTGTCCCCAAGCTGACATAGCTATGTTCTTGAGGCCACAGTTGGGTCATTCTGAGTGGAATTCTGGTTTTTCTGAGCTCCTTAGCCATTCTGCCACAGCTGACAACTCTTGTTCATTTTGTTCTCTTTAATTTTCCTGGTTTGGTTTGTTTTTAAATCAGCAGCCTGATTTTTTTTCTTTTTTTTTTTTTTAAGTCAGTAATTTATTTGCTTTTGTAGGGGAAATCACTTTTTTAAAGATTTATTTTATTTTGTGGAAACAATGGTCTTACCTACTTTCCTGTAACCCTTGATTCTTTGCGCCCTAATCAACTATGTAAAGATTATCAAAATAAAATAATTACAAAAAAAGATTTATTTTATTTTTATTGGAAAGTCAGATATACAGAACGGAGGAGAGATAGAGAGGAAGATCCCATCCGATGATTCACTCCCCAATTGACCATAATAGGTGGAGGTAAGCCAATCTGAAGCCAGGAGCCAGAAACCTCCTTTGGGTCTCCCCTGTGGGTGCAGGGTCCCAAGGCTTTGGGCCTTCCTTGACTGCTTTCCCAGGCCACAAGCAGGGAGCTGGATGGGAAGCGGGGCTGCCAGGATTAGAATTGGAATTCATATAGGATCCCGGGCATGCAAGGCAAGGACTTTAGCTGCTAGGCTATTGTACTGGACACAATAGTTTTATTTTATTTTTTAAATATGTTTTTGAGTTTTGAATTATGTGTGATTCATTTCACTGAGCATAATGGTCTCTAGTTGGGACCACCTAGTTGTAAATAGTATAATTTCATTCCTCTTAATAGTTGGATAATATTCCATGGAGTAGATGTACCACAGTTTCTTTAACCACCGTTCTTTGGACACACATCTGGATTGTTTCCATGTCTTTGTTCCCATAGCTTTATTTTTAAAACATGGTTGACAAATTAATTTTTTTTTAACTGAAATTAAACTTTGGTTTTTTTTTCCTTTTAAGATTATATACTTCGATTGTGGAACAAGACTGGACCCCTCTCCCCAAAAGTTTTTCTTAATGTGAGATGTCATGACCCAGAGAGATCCTTTGTAAAATTTACGTGCATCTCAGTTTAGATTTTGTGTTTATGCATTTGAGAGTCACTAAAATATGTGTTACATATGGTATGTAAACTATTTATTTAGAGAATGTGGTCTGTTTTTAAGAACCATCAAGCCACCTAATTTTCCTTTTTTTTTTAATTTATTCTCAAATGTTTAACAAGAAATAGTAGCCCAGCCATGTTTTCTTGGTGTCTCTGAATTTTGTGACTGACAAATATTAGCATTTCAAATACTGGAAATCCTTTGCTTTGTGTGATTCCCTTGGAAAGCTCCTAGAGTGGCTTCTGTGCTCTAAGCAGTCTTCTCCACGGCATCGCATGCTGTTGTCTTCAGAGGACACTGCAGACCTCCTGAAAGCCACTGCTGGACCAGAAGCAGTTCCATGTTTTGATTTGTGAACATTTACAGTACATCTTTCTTCATTAGCTCTTCAGAAATGTTGTTTCCTTAACAGAGCTCTCAGTAAGCTACTGTTGAGCTGTGTCAAGTAGTAGGAATTATTATCGCTTGACTGGTGTCCCCTCTAGCATTCGTGGAATTAATCACAGTCCCTAATACTCATTTGGGTCTGTAACCTTTGATTATAGTTACTGCTGAATGGTAACAACCCAGAGGTGCGTGATATGAACTAAAAATTATTCACACATTTGTAGAATCCTGAGTTTATTACAACTTTTGTTTCATGCTATTGTATTTTGAAATTATAAGTGGATTATAATGGCTAAAATAGTTACTGTTTTTGGAATTATTTTTTATTTGAAAGGTAGAGGTACAGAGTGAGAAAAAGAGGGGTAGAGACATGGAGAGACTGTCCACCTACTGTTTCATGATTCACTCTCCACATGGCAGGATGGCCAGAACGGAGCCAGCCTGAAGCCAGGAGCTCCGTGCGAGTCTCCCACATAGGTGGCAGGGGCCCAAGCATCCCAGCCATCTTCCTCTGCTCTCTTAGGCACACTGGCAAGCAGCTGGGTCCAAAGTGGAGTAGCCAGGACTTGAGCAGGTACCCATGCAGGATACCAGACATTATAAACGCTGGCTTAACCTGCTATGCCACAATGCTGGTCTCCGGAATTAATTTTTAACTCTAAAAATTTTCAATGGATAAGGTTAGGCAGTAAGTACTGGCTTTTAAAATTTCCATTTTAGAGCATTTGTATGGTTTAGCATATGCTAGGCTATGATACACTTACTGAATTTTTAAATAAGCAACATGATGGCACTTATCTTGCATAGATGTTTAATAAAGCCTGCACTGTGGCCCAGCTGGTCAAGCTGATCAAGCCACCACCTGCACCACTGACATCCTGTATGGCATAGGTTTGAGTCCTTGCTGCTCCACATATGATCCAGCTCCCTGCTGTGCACTTGGAAAAGCAGTGGAAGATGGCTCTTGCCCCCCACATGGCAGACCTGGAAGAAGCTCCTGGCTTCAGCCTGACTTGGACCTGGCTGATATGGCCATTCAGGGAGCAAACCAGCAATGAACAGTCTCTCTAACTCTGCTTTTCAAATAACCAAATAAATCTTTTAAAAAATGTTTAGAAAGAATGAGTGAAGTCTTATCAATTTAGCTCTTTGTGGTAACACTTTGCACTGAGGTGAAAGTTTGCTAACATACTGAATACTGAAGCCCGGCTTTATCGCCCAGCTCTGCATGTTTTACTCACTAAAAGGCAGTTTTATAGTTGTTGAAGGAGGTGAACTGTATGATCAGGCATTCTGTAACTTCTGGCTTTCTCTCAAAGTTCAGAATTATTTAAAAGCTACACACCACTTATTTCTGTGCGTGCTCTCAGAAGGATGGCTGTGGTTCTTAATTCCTTTAGAAGTGTCTAACATTCAGAAGAGCCCTAGTAGAAGTTGAGTAACTTGACTATACTTGTGATTTATCTGGAACCTTCTCTGATAGGTTACCACTAAATTTGAGAGATGATCCTTGTTCCATTTGAGTATTTGTGCTGGAGAATATTAAGTGGTTAAGTGCCAGGTGCTCTCCATAAACTATGTAATAAAAGTGATGAAAACATGGGGCTGGTGCCATGGCATAGTAGATCAAGCCTCCACCTGTGGCGCCAGCATCCTATATGATGCTGGTTTGAGTCCTGGCTGCTCCACTTCTGATCCAGCTCCTTCTTTGTTTTTGCCTGTGAAAGCAGTAGAGGGTGGCCCAAGGACTTGGGACCCTGTATCCTGTGGAAGATCTAGAGAAAGCTCCTGCCTTCAGACTGGCTCAGCTTAGGCAGTTGTGGCTTTTTGTGGAGTGAACCAGCAGATGAAAGATCTCTCTCTTTGTCTCTCCTCTCTGTACATTTACATTTCAAGTAAATAAATTTCTTTAAGTGAAAAAGGCAAATAACATTTTTTTAAAGATTTGTTTTATTTTTGTTGGAAAGGCGAATATACAGAGAGGAAGATCTTCCATCCGATGTTTCACTCCCCAAGTGAGCACAACGGCTGCAGCTGAGCCGATCTGAAGCCAGAATCCTGGAGCTTCTTCCAGGTCTCCCACATGGGTGCAGGGTCCCAAAGCTTTGGGCCGTCCTCGACTGCTTTCCCAGGCCACAAGCAGGGAGCTGGATGGGAAGCGGGGCCGCTGGAATTAGAACCGGTGACCATATGGGATCCCAGCGTGTGCAGGGCGAGGACTTTAAGCACTACGCCATCGCACCAGGCCCCAAATAACATCTTATGGAGACAGTTTGACTAACTGGCTCCTGGGCTGGCTGGTTCCTCGGCCTCTGCCTCGCTCGCATACCCACAGCAGCAGCAGCAGCTTTCTTAGATGCACTGATTGCTTTGTCAGGTGGCTGAGGTAAGGCAGTAGAAGGTCTACAGAGTGTTCCAGTTGACGAATGCTGACTGTGACTTCCTGTTTTCTGTTTGCTAGGACATTTTATTTCCTTACATCGAGGAAAATGTCCGGGAGTACCTGCAGACACACTGGGAGGAAGAGGAGTGCCAGCAGGATGTCAGTCTCCTGAGGAAACAGGTGGGCCCTTCCTCCTCCACACCCCAGGCGTCCTAGGATCCAGGATGCCTCTAGTCTTGGCTGCCCACCTGCCCAAGCCTGCCGCCAGACGCGCTGGAAAACCAGTGTCTGTGCCAAGTCCTTGCAGTGACTTGCCTGCCTGGGAGTTCACAGTCCACAGTGCACAGCACAGCATTTGCTATTATTAGAATTGCCTCTTTGTGGAGCCGTCTCAGGAGCATGAGAAGACTGTATAGCCCTTTTTGAGAGAAGTATAAAGGGATGCGTGCAGTCTGTTTACGTTTTTCATTCCTGTCCCCTCATCTTTACTGTCCCCTGCCTTGCTCCCTCCTCCCCTGTGCCCCGGGTCCTCGGGACTGCGCTGCCCCTGTGTATGGCTCGCCGGGCTCAGCCTTGGCCTAGCCTTCACTCCTGTGCTGCCATGTGCCCTGCTTGCTCCTCACCCCAGCCAGTCTGCCAGCTCCCACATTATGGGGTGCTCTACAACTCCTGTTGTGTTACTTCTCCTACTGAAACTGCTGAAAGGTATACAGAGTGAACTCACTGGCTGACTCCTAGTCAGCTTGTATTGCCGGAGTCCAGCTAGGGCCGAGTTCGGAACTCGAGAAAGGTGCGTGGATTAGGCGTAAAGTGGAAAGAAATGGACCACTATGATTTCATGATCATAATGGACAATGCGAGAAAGCTGTCCCCTTTATTTATACAGAAGCAATCACAAGCCCTGGCACAGACTTTTGATATCACGGTCAAATAGGTGTACCCAAGAATAATTCTTCCATTTGTTTCACCTAAAACAATAGAAGTTCCTACTGCGATTCTTATCCTACAACTCAGTCTTGTATCATGGAGAACCTAATGATCAAGGAAAGAATGAAGCCCTAAACACAGATCCCTTGATTAGCACAAGGTGGATGGTGACAGCATGAACAATAAAAGGCCCTTTTGCAAAATGTTATTATTGACATTGACCTCCAAGCTCACATTGATAGTAAAAAGTCAGCTCCACAGCAGCAAACAATGCCTGAGTGGATTAGCATTCTTCCAGAGAGAGGTGTCCATGTAAAGGAAGGTGGAGCTGCATTCAGGTGTCTGTAGAGACATCCCCTGGGTCCTGCCATGCAGCGGGAAATTCCTTGTGGCCCTGCCTGCAGTGCAACAATACTCTTCACACCTTTGTGTCCCCCACATCCACTGCATGGACCCCAGCATTGCATATTACATACTATGGAATGTGCTCTGTAAATTTTTGATGTTAGGAGTTAGGACTGGTAATAAAGACGCGCACCCTTTGGGACATGGTGTGTTTGGGTTTGTTGGATTTTCTGGGTTACTAACTCCCAGGTAATCTGAAATGTTTTTCTTTCTTGTTGTCTCATGCCTTGTTGAGACATATGTCCATATTCCTTCATTATAGTCTAAGTATTTACTGTATGTGTGTGTGTGTCTACAGCCAGAGGGGTACACTAGAGATACATGCATATACTTAGAGACTGGGCCGCACACTGCTCTAAATGGTGAGGAGGATTTTTGCAAGATTTGGCAGATGACTGAATGTGAGCTAATTCCACTATTTTACTAGCTTTTCAGTGATTTCCAGGCATGAATTACTTTATATTTCTAATATTGTTTACATAGTTGACAGGGATGCATGCCCATGTGGGTCTCCTTAGGGTGGGGAAGATCACTGGTGTGGAGGAAAGTGGGCAGGATGATGTTTTAGGGTTTTTTTTCCCCTCCCATTTCTGCAGTGGGGAAAGGGGTTGGAGCTGCTCCTTGCTATCAGACTACCTCAGGCTGTGGGGGTGAGGGACAGTCATTTGATGACTCCTTAGGGACCCTGATGTGGGGAAGAGTGTTCTGAGGGTGTTACTTGAAGGGTTTTGATAGTTCTGAGAAGTTGTCCCAGGGTTGAGAAAATCTTTCCAAGGTCCATTGGCTGACCAAGTCCACCTTAGTGCATCCACAGACTCAGACATCTGCTGCAAAGCTTGGCTAGAAGAGTTGCCTAACTTGTTCTGCTTTCTATCTGATGAGGAACTCCACATCCTCTGCTGGCCTAGATGAACTGGCTGTCATGTTTCTCATGTGTGTCTGGGCATGCTGTCCACTGCACAGGCATCAGCAACGGAGCAGGCTCAGTCCTGATGCATGCACTCCAAGGTCAGACCACATACCTTGTGATTTTCCCTGTGGCCGGTATTTGAGTCCAGTGATCTAACTGGGGAGTTCCCCAAGAAACCTCACCTGGTGGTGACCTCAGACTTGACTCTTGTGTGCTCCAGTCAGTGTAGGTCAGGATCGGTCTTTCACGTGCACCAGCCACTGTATATTGGTAGATGCAGCATAAATTAATTTTATCATTAGACATTCTCTCCTGTGGCACACAACCTTCCTTTCAGTTTGCATTTCAGCTGTAGCAGTCTATGAAAGGTAATAGAAGTTTATTAATCTGGTTTCTTTAAGGAATCATGTTCAGCCTTCTCGAATATGACATTATAATTTTGCAGCAGTGTTGGCATGCCAAGTAGTTGGAAACTAGTCCGTTTGCTGGGTTTGAGGAGTCTTCATTTTAAGTGACCTGTCGTTGAACAAGCGAAGCACACCTTTCTCTTGTTTCTGACCCGCAGGCTGAAGAGGATGCCCACCTGGAGGGGGCTGTTCCCATCCCTGCAGCGGCTGGGAGCAGCGGGGATGCGCAGCACATGATCCAGGCCGTGGCCGACAACGTGTGCTGGCAGATGTCCCTGGACCGAAAAACCACGGCACTCAAGCAGCTGCAGGGCCACATGTGGCGGGCAGCGTTCACAGCTGGGCACGTGAAGGCAGAGTAGGTAGCTTCTGTCTGACGGAGCATCTCAGCTGCAGCCCCAAACACAGAGGCGCTTCCCAGTACAAGGCAGCAAGAGAAAAGGAGCCTTCGATCTGAAGGCCGAGTGGTTGTTTGCAGCTGACAAACACTTTCTGCCTAGCTGAATCCCTAGGCTGCATGTTGGCCTTTGTGGCCTGGTTAAAGGCACTTCCTGGAAAACACGGACTTTTCTGAATGGTCCTTAGCCAGTGATTGACAGTGCTTCTGGGTTGCTTCCCTGGACCGGTAGATGACCTGCTGTCTGTTCTGTTAGGGAAGTGTGGATGCTGTGGAATTAGGCATCTGTCACTGTGGAGTTATTCAGGGAAGATCAGTAGTGCCCACCTCCATCCCCCTTATTAAGACTTGTTTTTCAGCCTGGTGCTGTGGCCTAGCGGCTAAAGTTTCGCCTTGAACACGCCGCAAACCATTTGGGCACCAGTTCTAATCCTGGCAGCCCCGCTTCCCATCCAGCTCCCTGCTTGTGGCCTGGGAAAGAAGTCAAAGACGGCCCAAAGCCTTGGGACCCTGCACCCATATGGGAGATCTGGAAGAAGCTCCTGGCTCTTGGCTTTGGGGATCAGCTCAGCTCTGAATATTGTGGCCATTTTGAGAGTGAACCAGCAGATGGAAAATCTTTGTCTCTCCTTCTCTATATATCTGACTTTCCATTAAAAATAATAAATCTTAAAAAAAAATAAGAATGCCTTTGGTAATTTTCTGAGGCTGTACAACTTGAGAATGTCATTATTATATATATTAAAAAAAAAAAAAAAGACTTTTTTCCCCCTTGGAAAGCAGAATTAGAGCTAGGGAGAGAGATCATCCATGTGCTGCTTCACTACTCAGATGGAGCTTCTTCTAGTTCTGCCACATGGTGTAAGGGCCCCAGCGCTCGGGCCGTCTTCCACTGCTCTCCTGGGGACATAAGTAGGAAGCTGGATCAGAAACAGAGCAGCCAGAACATGAACCCAACTCCTGATGGGATGCTGCCATTATAGCTGATAGCTTAACTCCCTTCTGCCACAACGCTGGTCCCATCACTTTCTTCCATGTCTTTTTTGTTTTGTTTTGAACAACTGCCCAGTGCCTTTGGGTCTTGCTTATAGAATTCCTGGTAATATTCCTGCTGGAGTATTATGTTATATTGTATTATCTTAATAAGGCACTGTCATTAACATTTTTGGGGAGAGAGCTTTTGCCTGACGTGGCCCAAAGATCTAAGGCTGTTTCCAGCTGCCTATTTTTCTTTTCCTTTTGTATCAAGTGAGATGTCATTCCTTTACTTTAGCACCTTACAAGGAGCTTTTCCCCTTCCAGGGTGTGTGCCAGCGATCTGGGACTATCAGCCAGTGTGTTCTGTAAAATACTGCAGGCATGGAAACAGGAGAGAGTGACCCAGCGGGGAGCCCTTGCTCATCTTAGTTCCCTAAACCAGGGACCTGGAACATACTACCACAACTGCTGAAACGCTGCTTTAGATCGCCGTCTTTGTATTCAGCATGGAAAAATCCATCCTCCGTGACTGTAACACACTTAGAATTTGATGTGCTCATTTTGAACATGGTGACCTCTTTCCTTTGGTTAGTGCAGCATGACAAGCTGTCCTATTCAGCAGCAGACCTCTGACTTTTCCAGTCTTCTAAAGATGACACTTCAACAACAGCATCACCTGTCTGTTGTGTTACTTCTTCCGTTGAGTATGGAAGGCATCATCGTGTTGGTACAAGAGACTATCAAATCAGAAAACCAGATACTGTTTGTTGATTAGCGCTTATGAACTGCTGTAAGTTTTTGACTGATTTGTTGTGTTACAGATTCAGGTTTTCTTGGGTCTCAAGAAGTGTAATTCTGTTTCCTAGCTATTCAAAGGCTTGGAGCTTTGAAATCTCCTGCCCTCCCCTCCGCCCCCTGCCAAGAATTTGCTTTTTAACTATTTTGGGTTCAGTCTTTCTAAAAGCATTTTCTTGCTTTTTTAAAGCATACTAGACATAATCCAACCTTTTCTTACTATGAATTACGTCACAAAGCACATAGTAGTAAAGTTATTGCTGTTTACTTCTCTTTAAATCCCAAGAGTTTAAATTTTTTAAAAGTGCTTTTTTCTTTTTTCCCTTGTGACTCCTGTTTATTGGTGTGACTGTCCACAGTTCAGGGTCTCGCGGGGCTGCTGCCCACAATGCGTGGCACCTGTTTTGACTTGCTGCATGTTCACCAGGCGCTCTTCCCTCTAGGTTCTTTGCGGATGTGGTTCCAGCAGTCAGGAAGTGGAGGGAAGCCGGGATGAAGGTGTATGTCTATTCTTCAGGGAGTGTGGAGGCACAGAAACTGCTGTTTGGGCATTCCACGGAGGGCAATATTCTTGAGGTAAGTGACTTGTCTTACTTTACTTTTACAACACTACTTGAAATGTTGACTATTAAACAAATGTGCCACAGTTAGAAGCTACATAGCCTTCAGGTCATTACATTTGAGAGTGCTACGCAGATCATGAGAGAAGTAGAAGAACTGGGGAGTGCATAACCGAGAAGGGTGAGATGTCTTCTGTGGCACCAGTCCGTAGAGCCAAGGTTCTTAAACGTGGTTGTGCACCAGAATCACCGGGGGAGCTTGTTAAGCCCGCAGACTCGCTGAGCCCTGTTGCTAGCAGGTGTGACTTGGCAGGCCAGGGCTAGGGCCAGGGGGCTGCACGGGGCACTTCTGTGAGTGATTCTGATGAGGCTGGTCCTCCAGTCAGCTGTGCTTTGAACACGGGCACGCTGCCTGTAAGTGTTGCCAGCAGGAGAGAGAATTAGTTACCCAAAGGAAACTAGTATAATAATTCTTTCAATTGTTAAAGTCAGGTTAGAAAGAAGTAATTACATTTAACCATACTGTAGTAATCATTTTGTCTACATAGATCTTTATAATTTACTTTGTCTTGAAAAAAATAAAACCAAGTGATAAGCAAAATAGGATGTGGTACACAGCCTGAAGAAAGCCAGCCCAGCAAGGGACGCCCATTTGTTGCTGGCACTGGAGAGAGATGCAGTGTCGTCAGGGAGGGGAACCGGGCACATTACAAAACATGGTGATGAGCCCGAGTTGCCTGTAGGGCTACTTCTTTCTGTTTTTATAACATTTGAAAGAGTGTGAGAGAGGCAGACATGTCATCATTCGCTGGTTCATTCCCACAAATGCCCCCCACAAGCAGGTCTGAGCCAGGGCAAATCCAGGAACAAGAACTCCATCCCGCGCCCCCACATGTCTGACGGGGCCCAACAGCTCGGGCCGTCCTTTGCTGCCTTCCTCAGCATGGAAACGGGGGGATGGATCAAAACGGGAAAGCTGCAATGGCTGGGGCTCCCAGCCAGCCCTGTATTATGAAATGCCAGTGTCGCAGACCGTGGCTTGACTGGCAGTGCCTCAGCACTGGCCACCGGGTACGCTTGTGCATGAGAGCTTGCCGTCAGTCCTCGCTGAGGAGGAGCTGATCAGCAAAGGGTGCTCTTCCAGGACACTTGTCTGTTTACTTTTTGGAAGGTTTATTTATTTGGGCCCAGTGTGATACCCTAGTGACTACAGTCCTCACCTTGCACATGCCAGGATCCTATATGGGCATCGATTTGTGTCCCAGCTGCTTCACTTCCCTGCTTGTGGCCTGGGAAAGCAGTCAAGGACGGCCCAAAGCCTTGGGACCCTGCACCTGCATAGGAGAACCAGAGGGGCTCCTGGCTCCTGGCTTCGGATCGGCTCAGCTCCGGCCATTGTGGCCACTTGGGGAATGAACCAGTGGATGGAGGATCTTTATCTCTGCCTCTGCTTCCCTCTCTGTATATCATCCTTTCCAATAAAAATAAATAAATAAATCTTTAAGAAAATCTTTGTCTGAAAAGCAGAGGCAGGATACCACAGCCATAGAGGAGCCACTGTACCGAAACTCCAGCCCCACAGATACTGTCTTAAGGACAGAGTGTAGATCATGTATATTTTCAGTGAATTGGAGTGAAAATGAATGCAAATGAAAACCAAATAGATGTTAAAATGATCCTGTATAAATTGAGCTGATGGTTCTCTTCTTCCAAATGTTTACTGGAAGAATGTTCCCATTCTTATAAACTCCATGAAGTTCGTTGTTTGCTGGCTTTTCAGTGAATACTTGTTGGATGAGTGAAGTTATTGTGATTGTCACGTGTTTCTGAGGAAGGGACCGTGAGGTGAGGGGTGCTGGGGCGCTGGGGCGCTGCAGGTGTGTGGGGTTTCAGGCTTCCCCCTCTCCCTGGGCAGCTGGTGGACGGTCACTTTGATACCAAGATCGGACACAAAGTGGAGAGCGAGAGTTACCGAAAGATTGCGAACAGCATCGGGTGCTCGACCAACAACATCTTGTTTCTGACGGACGTTACCGTGGGTGAGTACTTGGCGCTTGTGGGAACTGAGCCCGCACTGTGGACACGTTGCCTCTTCAAGGACGGCTTGGTGGGGATCTCGGAAAAGCGACGTTGTGGAAGTAGTGTGTTGCTGTACGCACCTCCCTCTCTGTATACTGCTGCTTGGGAGCTGTGTGTGAAGTGGCATTGGTGAGATGAATTCTTCCCATTTTAATTCATATTTGTGTTTCTGACAATCTGCCTTTGATTATTAGTTCTCTGGGACTGAGGGTACCTGTAGAACGGGTTGCTGCCCTGGGGCAAGAGCTGGGGGCAGGAGAATGCTGCCAGGCTTGGCCAGTGCCCGTGGCCCCTGGGCCTCCAGGGGCCATGGTCAGCAGCCTGTGGGAGCGTCCGCTCGCCCCTGCTGTGCAGAAGGGAGTCACTTCCACCCACGGGGGCAAGCCCATAGGCCGCTGCCAGGGGCTTGGATGCACTGTGGCTTCTGCTCCCGCTGCTCCTTATACTTCTATAGTCTGTGGTTCTGGGCAAGTGTTGCAGATACAGAGCTGGTACTGATTGGCTGAGTGTTTTTTGTTTGCTTGTTTGTTTTAGATTTATTTCTTTTCATTGGAAAGTCAGATCTACAGAGAAAAGGAGAGACAGAAAGAGCCTCCATCTGCTGGTTTACTCCCCAAGTGCCCACAACGGCTGCAGCTGAGCCGATCCAAAGCCAGGAGCCAGGAGCCTCCTCTGGTCTCCCACATGGGTGTAGGACCCCAAGGCCTTAGGCTGTCCTTGACTGCTTTCCCAGGCCACAGGCAGAGAGCTGTAAGGGAAGTGGAGTAGCTGGGATATGGACCACTGCCCACATAGGATCCTGGCACATGCAAGGCAAGGATTTTAGCCACTAGGCCACTGTGCTGGGCCTGGCTAAGTACTTTTTAAAGACCAGCAATGTCGGGGGCCCGGCGCGATGGCGCAGTGGTTAAAGTCCTTGCCTTGCACTCCCGGGATCCCATATGGGCGCTGGTTCTATCCCGGCAGCCCTGTTTCCCTTCTAGCTCCCTGCCTGTGGCCCGGGAGGACAGCCCAAAGCTTTGGGACCCTGCACCCGCGTGGGAGACCCGGAAGAGGCTCCTGGCTTCAGATCAGCATAGTATCGGCCGTTGCGCTCACTTGGGGAGTGAATCATCGGACGGAAGATCTTCCTCTCTGTCTCTCCTCTCTGTATATCTGCCTTTCCAATAAAAAAATAATAAAAATAAATCTTTAAAAAAAAAAAAAGACCAGCAATGTCAGCATCGCTATCACTGGTGTTGTGAGAAGCTGCAGGGACTTCCCAGAGAGGTTGAGGCATAGCAGGCTCCGTCTTCTCGGTCAAGCAGAAGTCATGTGGCAGTGTTGTTGTCCCGCACCTGTGCAGTTCCTGGTTGGTCTGAACTGGAAGCCAGCCCCACTGCACAGTCATTCCCTAGCTTGAGATTTGAGAACTTTGAGGAATCGCCCCATTCCTGCTTCGGGTTGCTCTGAAGCTTCCTCAAAACTCGCTGCCTCTGGTATCGCTGATCGCAGTGGGCGAGGAGGCACACGCACAGGCTGCCTCAAGATCATGGTGGTCGTGTGGAATGTAGTGTCAGTACACACCAGCCTCCACCACAAGGGCATGAGAGCGTAGATGTTTTCCTGCTGCCGCCTTTCTGTGTGCCAACTCCAAAGGGCTTGCAGTGTTGGAGTGGGGCAGGGCTGCGTCTGGGTGTGTCTGTGCGAGGAGAGTCAGAAGGCAGGTGGCATGTTTCTCTCGGACTGAAGAGCGGGTTGTTCTGTGAGTTGCTGGGCTTTGGTCATGGCCCTCCGGGAGGCGGCCAAAGCCGCACATCCAGAGTTGGCGCCTGGAGCCTGCAGGCCTCGGGGTGAGGACCTGCTGTGTGGCCAGCTCAGGGAGAGAGGGCCTCAGTTACTGGCCTCTCAGGTCCCTCCCGGCGCCCGGGCTTCTTGGTCATATGATCACAGTGGTGCCTGAACAGGCAGAACGTGTTCTGAGAAAGGTGGCCTTATGTGGCCGCCACGGAGTGCACTTAGGCACCCTGGGCAGGTAGCCCACTGCACGGCCAGGCCCTGCTGTCAGAGCCCGTGTCTCCTGGGCTGCTTCCCTGGGCACACGTGCTAGAACTGAGTGCTGTGGGCAGCAGTAACACAGCAATACATGTTTGTGCTCCTAAACATACAAAAGGTAGAGTAAAACTAAGAGGCAGCAGCAGTCTTTCAGGCCTGCTGTGCAGTGAGGGGCCGCGATTGTATATGCCGTCATTATGGCAGTAGCTGTGATTAGAACTCCTGCCCTAAGAAAACTTACAGTGCCCTCATAGTCTCATCTTTGCTTATAGTTGGCTTTATAATATATAATTCACACATACATTAAAAATTTTAAGTTTTTTCTCTTTTTAGAAAGCTTAAGCCACCTCTTTGGGCTGCAGTTCCTTCTTCAGGGACTAGAGCTAATCCCCACATTGGCATCACAATGACATTGGCTCTCCTCCAAGTCCCCATATGGAGGCTTTTTCCTCCTGTCTTCCATCCCTGCCCGCCCCACGCTGGATCAGGCAGTGGAGCTAGGAGTTGGATCCTGGCTGCTGACACAGGGCAGGTGGTTGGCCGCCTGCCTCACTCTTCTCTGGTTATAGCTTTTCTGTCATCATATGTTCTGGTGCCAGGTGCCCAGACTTCCATTGCCAAGGCCAAGCAGCCTGAGGTGATAGCCCAAGAATACCCAGGGGGGATTTGAAAAGACCTCTTGAATGAAACGAAAGGGGCCCAGGGTTTTAAGTTAACAGGTGTTAGTTAAGTGTCTCCATGCTTGGCCAGTAGAGTAGTTAGGTGCCATAGGTCAGGGCTTGCCTCTCGGGGCCCGAGGGAGGGAGCCATGGCTAGTGTTGGTCTCTTGTGGGTGGAGATGGGCTCGGTCAGGTTGGTGGCGGTGCAGCCTGAAGCTCTGCTGCCACCAGCCAGGATGAGGGCGAGCAGTGACATTTGGGACTGGAGTGAGGCATCGTGGAGTCAGCCTGCTTCATGGAGTGTTCCCATGGGCCTGTGCTCAGACACTGTTACCGGGAAGGTGAGTGGCGCTCTCCCAGAGAGCAGGAGAAGGCTCTAGGTGGGTGGGAGGTGGGAAGGCTCTGTCTGGTATATGGGAGATGAGGTGGGAGGTGGGAAGGCTCTGCCTGGTATATGGGAGATGAGGTGGGAGGTGGGAAGACTGTGCTTGGCGTGTGGAGGTGGGGTGGGTGGGAAGGCTCTGTCTCCTCCTCTCTGTATATTTGCCTTTCCAATACATATAAATAAACCTTAAAAACAAACAAAAAAGTGAAAGAAGAAAAGGAAAATGAGGCTTCCTTGGGGAGAGCAGAATTGAAGAAAGATGGAGGGGCAACAGGAAACTATCTTTTCAGGGGCACATCTCGCAGCACTTACTGAGCCAGAGGGTTTCTGATAACGTTAGAGAATGGGAACTCCGGGGTAGGAGGGCTTATAACGGAACCTGTCACCCAGCAAGTGCAGTGCTAAATCAGCATGAGACGTCACCTGTCGTCCTGCAAGTGGGAACGACCGAGAGATGTCACCCAAGGGGTCTCCTACAATACGTAACTTACCTACTTTCATTTAACTAGTCTGTGATTCCTATGCCTGCCCTTACCCTCTTCAACCACATACAGGTAGAAAAGCAACTGGCCATAACATGTGCAGTTACACTGTTGGGAAGGAGGTCAATACAGAGTGTGCAGCAGCGCTAGTGTAGACGGTGGTGCTGCAAGTGGGGCTGTTTGAGCTGGATTTGGAGAGCAGGCATTTACTAGGCCTGAAGTCGGCAGGGACCGTGGCATGTTTCAGGTCTGGAGACAAAAGCAGGCCCTTTGGCCAGCGAGCTTCTAGCGTTCCTTTTCGCCTGTCTCCTTAATGGTTGTAGTTACCACCCACCTGGCCTGCAGGGCACAGCTGGGCACGCGCCAGGGTGGCTGGGGGGGCATGGAGAACTGTGGGACAGAGCGCAGTCCCTGGGCCCCAAGCTCTCGGGTTCCCTCTGACGCTCTGTCCCACGCTGTGGTTTCTGCAGAGGCCAGCGCTGCCGAGGAAGCGGACGTGCACGTGGCCGTGGTGGTGAGGCCTGGCAACGCGGGGCTGACGGACGACGAGAAGACCTACTACAGCCTCATCACGTCCTTCAGTGACCTGTACCTGCCGGCCTCCACGTAGGGGAGCGTGCCCGGGAAGGCCTGCCTGCCCGCAGCGCCGGCCCCCTAGTGCGGGCTGTGCACTGATGGCAGGTGGTCACTGATCGGCAGGCACACATATGCAGGTGTACGTATGTGTGTGCTCATGTTAACTCCCAGAGGCATATATGTGAAAATATTTGTTCAGTCCAATGAAAAATGAAACTTATTTAAAGATGCTTTATATGTAGAAAGTGTTTGAAACAATAACTGTAACCTTTATTGAGGGCAAAGTGTCGATAGAAGAGATGGCTGAAATACAGATTCAGTGTGTTATGTTATCAAGTGCATACCAAACCTGAAAGCTAGTGTTGAGAAATCATTCCAGAAGCCTTGTTATTCCTGATAAGAATTGACTGCCTCCGTTTAATTGTGAATTAGAAGGTCCCAGCAGCTGCACTTCCTGTTTGTCTCCCTACATACAAAAGCCTAAGAATACTGTTCCTGCTCCAAAACAAAGCAAAAATGGGAATGAAGTTTCATTTGATCGATTAAGTTACTTAAGAATCTGTTCCTTTAAGAAAAAATGTGCATTATCATTGTGGCACCCTCAGCAAGCAGTTGCCTTACCTGTGAAAAAAGTGTTTCGCGACCCCGCTAGAATAAGGACGCGGTTCTTACCGTCTGCCCAGACAGTCCTAACCCTGCAGGCTGCCATCGGCACCGATCTTATAGTTGCCTCTTTAACTACTTAACATAAAAAGGTTGTGTTGCAGTCAGTCTATAATGTTAAAAAGTGCGATGATATATAATATTTTCTTCTGAAATGAGGTGTGAATTTTATCACAGCATTAGTGATCCTGGTTTGATCCTAATAGGATGTCATGTCTGTTTCATGTTGTGATAAATAAAAATGTTTTTGTCTCCTCTCGGTTTCATTTACATTCCTGAATGACAGAGTATGGGAGACTGGAGTCGGGAGCTGTTGTCTTGATCCCGTGTGTGTGTTTGATATCCCTGTTTGTTTATTTGAAAGGCAGAGAAGGTGAGCCAGAGATCTTGGCATCTGCTGTTTGACTTTCCCAATGCCTGTGACAGCCAGGCCAGGGCCCGGGTGACACCAGGGACCCAGGTCCTTGAGCCCACACCTGCTGCCACCCGGGGTGCGCCTGAACAGGCAGAGACCTCAGGAGTGGGGCAGGACTGGAGTGTAATTGGGGTACTCTCGGTTGGGAAGCGGGCATCCGCAACAGTGGCCTAAGGGCTGCAGCAAACACCCATCCCAGTGTCAGGCTTGGAGGTGTGTGAGTGTGTGAGTGTGTGTGTATGTGTGTGTACACGTACTATTTCATATGGATTGAAGCATTCGGATTATCAGTGGAGTATTTTATATTGTTGAGACTCTTACTATTTGAGGCATGTGACCGCGTGTTAGAAGGATGCAATTCTAGTTAAACTGGGAAAGCTAATTAATCCTGAAGGAAATAATTTCCAGAGTGACTCGATTCACCAGAAGGAAGTAATGAGAGTACAGGGCATATAAAAGATTTTGATCAGGGCCTGGCGCAATAGCATAATGGTTAAGGTCCTGGCCTTGAATGCACCAGGATCCCATATGGGTGCCGGTTCTAATCCCGGCAGCTCTACTTCCCATCCAGCTCCCTGCTTGTGACCTGGAAAAGCAATTGGGGACAGCCGGGACCCTGCACCCGTGTGGGAGACCTGAAAGAGGTTCCTGGCACCGGCCGTTGTGGCCACTTGGGGAGTGAATCATCGGGCAGAAGATCTTCCTCTCTGTCTTTCCTCCTCTCTGTAGATCTGACTTTCCAATAAAATAAATAAATCTTTAAAAGATTTTGATCAAAGAGCTGTTTTTGATCGAACAGTTGTGGAAATACACCAGAGTAGACAACAGGAAATGAGTTTCAGGAAATCTTAGAAATGGGAATAATTTGGAAATGTTGATAAAACCACAGATGGTAGTACAAGGATAACCTTCCCACATCTGCTAGGAAAGTTCCGAGGCAGATAGCAGAATCGGGTGGCAGTGGTGGTGAAGGAAACGAGACAGGAGCATTTACCGTTCATGAGGCACCAGAAAAATGCTAACTTACCCTGAGTAACAAGGGAAAGCTGAAGTCCAAGACTGATTTTGTCACAGTGGGGTGAGTTTAAAAGGAAGAAAAAGGTGGGTGATCACAAACATGAAGGAGACTTGCAAAGAGCCCCAGAGAAGGGAAGCAGAAATAGGGCTGTGGGGAGCGAGCAAGGAGCAGAACTCGGGCCAACTCCTGGTCCCTGGACAGGGCAAAGGAAAGCTCTGGAACTTCCCCCAAAGAGCAGCACTGAATTTCCGCGTCTGGTTTGAAGATTACAAAGGGGACAAGGGACTCTCCTCCGCTGCGACTCTTCTGTCACCAGTCCAGATCTGCCACTGATGGCCCAAGTGCCACTCATTTCCCGTCTCGGGTCAAGACCAGAGTTGGTGTGATAGGAGAGCCACTTCAGACAGTCTTACGGGCAGCTCTGGAGTGGCAAAGCTTCTTTGTCCTTGTGTAAGGCTGGCCTTCTCTTAAACCCAGCTGTTCCTGTCAAGTTCAGTGAAAACCCCTGGCCAGAAAGGTGTCCCTCAGGCTTTGCCCAGCAGAGGGCGCCCCTGCTCCAGAGAGCTTTTCAAATGTGAGGCCACCAGATAGTTTGGCGGGAGAGAATACCAGTACAATTTATTTATTTTTTAAAAACGAACAGCATGAGATGGGAAGAGTCAGAGTAGCTGGGAAAGATGGCAGTGATCCAGCCGCAACACGCGTCCTTTCCCCTCTTAGCCTAAGTTGTCGTTGTGAAGCATCTGATCTTTCCAGAAGCAGTGCTAGCGGGCCGATCTCTCCAGGCTTTCCTTCCTCCCGTCACAGTGCAGAGTTGAATATGATCTGCGCCAGGACAATTTTCTGTCCTGACACCTGTGCCCACATGACAAAATGGTGTTATCAACCTGGCATTGAAGAAAAACCTGCAGTTCCTGGGAACTTGCTGGAAATAACAGAAGTGGGGTGCACCCTCCTTGTGGATGTAACCCAGAATTATCCTGCTCAGGGTTTTGCAAGCCCTCCACTCTGTGCTCCAGATCTGGCATGTGCACTCTTGGCAGGGACACAGTAAGAGAAGCCGGGTACCAGAAGTGCTTGGCATGTTCAGGGAAGACACAAGGGGGTGGGGGCAGTGTTCAGGAGTGCTACACATGGGACACCTTTGACATACTGGGCAAGACCGTCCCACAGAGTGGCAGCAGTGGAGGGGGTGAGGCTGGCACCCTGAGGGTGAGTCGCAATGTGGGAGATGCCCCTAGATGATTCTGAGCAAGAGAAGAGTGATTCACTTTTGTAAGAATTCTCTGTTGGGTACACCATGGATACACAGCAATCAAGACTGGGTACAGTAGAAGAGGTACCCTGGGGATGAGCAGAGACCACGGAGGTGCTAGAGTCAGATGGAAAGCGAGGAGTCGGGTGGGCATGCGGCCCAGCAGTTAAGACTTCAGAGCAGCCAGGTTGGATGCAGACCCTGCAAGGCAGCAGATCATGGCTCAAGCGCTCGTCATCCTGTCACCCATATGGCAGACCTAGATGGGCTCCTGGGTCCCTGGAGAGTGAACCAGCGGAAGAGAGCTCGTTCTCTGCCTTTTGAACTTGAAGCACACAGTCACATATTTACAAATCAATGAGCAGGCTGGACGACTGTAATCAGGAACTAAACTGGACTGTGGCATTAAGGGACCAGCACAGTGTGAGTTCAGAAAGCCTGCTACCATGGCAACCAGAGCTGATGCTCAAAGCTGGCCAGACACTGGAATACTTGGATGCAACTTGCAACTTTTAAGACTTGGGTGTCTGCCACCCTGCCTCCCTGTAGCAACGGGAAGTTGCCTTCTGTCTTCAGTGCTCAGTACTCATGCGCTTCCAAAGTAATAGTAACCCAGAATTCTGCACAAAAAGGCATCTGGGAGATTTGCTTGCTTTGTTTATTTTGGGAAATTTTCAAGAGAATCTATTCTCACTTGGAAGGCAGAACAAGAGAAACCTCTTTCCTCTGTTGGTTCACTAACCAAATGCCCACAACAGAGTAGGGTCTGGTCAAATCAGAAGTCACCCCTTGGGTGGCAGGGGCCCAAGCACTGGTGCCATTTCCTGCTGCCCCCCAGTTCCAAGTAAATGGTACTTGAAAGAACATCTGACCCCACAGGAGGAGGCTGTTGACAGTAATGGTGAGAAGCGATGGTGGTGGCATGCCATGGGCTGCAAACAGTGAACACAGACGTGGGAGTGTTCAGAATGTTGTTGAGATAACAGTGACTGCACTTGTTGACGGAAGGGATTTGACAAGGTCACCCCAGGATTTTCTGTTTGAGACACTCAGTAGATGGTGCTACTGGGAAAACTATGCCACTGATGTTAAGATGTGAAGTATGCAAGGCAGCCTAGACATGGATATAAATGTGACCACCAAAACAGTTGCCAACAAGTGTAGAGTTCAAGGCCATGGCCTCCCTGGAGATGTGCTTTGAGCATTCATTGGCAAACAGATGCCATTAGAAGCCATGGGATGTGGTCATTGGGGCAGAATCCGCTGAGACAGAAGAGAGCCTTGATGAAGCAGAGGCCAGAGGCCAGCAAAGGATGCGAGAGGACGGGCTGTGAGAGGGGAAAGGCAGGAGGCCGGTAGGGTTAAATGAGGCCACGTGGCTAGGAGCATAATCCCACAGGACCCCTGGTAAGAGGGAAGAATCCCCTCTCTTGACCATCAGAAGACACGGCAAGTGTATCAGATGGTCACCAAGCAGGGGACGTTTCTACTCAGCATGGTTTAGGAGGCCAGTGCTACAGCGCACAGCAGTGCTGAGACTGTCGCACTGTCCTCCCTCTCCTTGTCCTTCCCAGCAGTGGGTCTCTGTTCTCCCTGGCTTGGGGCTTGGCAAGCACCTGCCTCTTCCCAGAATCCCAGGCTTAATGCCTCAGGCTACCTGTGGCCCCCACCACCCCCGCCTCATTCTCCTCACCCAGGTGGCGTGTTGCTCAGGATGCCTGTCCACCGCGTTCCTCTTCCTCTTCCTGCCAAGCTGTGCTTGAAGCCCCAGTTGTTGATCCCCTGTGAAATGAAAGGCAATGGTGCTAACACCAGATGTGGTACTTCCAAGTTCCACACTCCCAAAGGGTCAAGCTTTCCAAAGGCTCACTCATGTTTGTTATCTTACTTTAACCCTTTCCATAAGCGACTGTCCTCCCGCAACCCCTGCCTCCCCACAACTTCACTTGCACTGAGTTCATTTTGATCGCTGTGTTGAGGACAGGCTAAAGGCAGTGAATGAGGGCAGCGCGGGTTTTGCTTGTAGATTACTGTAAAGCCAAGAAACGGTATTATTGGGCTGGACCACATGAGGGCAGCAGGTGAACTTGAGTGAACTTGAAAGGTAGTGCAGGAAGGATTTGATGAGGCGGGGAGTTTAAGAGGGAGAAGAGATGAATGAGCAAAGGAAAGATAAATTGTTCTTAAATTAGATGAGAAGACTATACTGCAGGGATGGGGGAAGGGAAGTGAATTAGAGGGTTCAGATCAGATGTTCTCAACTGCAGTCAAATGGAGAGGTCATAAAGGCAGTTGAATATGCAGATCTGAGATTAAGGATAGAGGTCTGGGCTGTAGCGGCTGGGCAAAGTTGGCAGTGTTTGTTATAATAATATTATATATGATAATAATTGCTGCTTCACTCCCCAAATGCCTCCCCTGCAACAAGCTGGGGCTGGGCCAGGCCAAAGTAGAGAGCTGACAGATCCCCACACAAGAGGGGTGCCAAGGACCACCTGAGTCATCACCTGCTGGAAGTGCCAGCTGGGATGGCAGCAGAGCTGGACCTCCTACGCAGGTGCTCAGGTATGGGCCGCCACCGCATTCCAAACCAAGAAAGCGATGGAGCAGAGGAGGTCCTGGGACAGAGCAGTGGTGTCCTCCAATGTTACACCGTCAGCGAGAAGGTGATGCAGCCAAGAAAACGGAGCAGACAGCAAGACAGCAGGCACATTGGTTGGGAGGCTGTTCTGGAAGGCAGATGGAAAAGGGTTGCCAGTGGGGAGGTGAGGTTCTGCTGGTGTAGCTACAGAAGGTCAGGGAAGCTGTGAGGATGGAAGCAGGCTGCCCCAGAGAGAGCCCCTTTCCTCCGTGTCTGGATGAAGATAAGTTCTCTGGTGATTCTTGGGCATTCCCACTCTGAAGGTATGATGATGTCCAAAGCTCGCGGGACTCCTGGAACGGCCACTGCAGTTGCACACAAAGGCTTCTCCCACTCTGGGCATGTGGTTGGCAGTGCCACCTTCCAGTATGGCCACGTGATGCACTCAGTCACATGGGTGACTTCCTGTCTGGAGCTCTTGGGCCAGTGCAGAAACAGGTGGTGGGACATAGCTGTGGCATTGCCAGGGTCAGGTTATTCCCATGCCCAGAACCCCTCCCTGGCAGATGCTGGCGAGAATGAGATTTCTGTTTTATCTGGGGATGGCAAAACCCAACCTGCCATGGCACAGTGCCTCAGCATAAATCAATGCTCATGTTTAATTTCTATTTACAGCCAAGAGATTACAAGTTCCATGACTTGGAAGTTTGACTTTCTCACATAAGAGATAAGAAAACCCAACAAATAATAAAACCTGATCCCTGTCAGTTTTCCATTAAGTAAAAACTCAGGTCTCTACAGATGGAATTGTTCTAAAATAATTTTCTTTCCTAACCAGTAGAGGAATTTCACTTCTTCACGAGGACAACCCAAAATGTGCTTTAGTGGATTTCAGCCCTGGTTCTCCAGGCCGGCCTCACTGCGCATGTGCACATGGCAGGAATGCTATGGTTCTCACTTGAGAGGTGGTTCTGGACCTTGTTGCAGGTGCATTATGCTAGAACTGAATTGTTGCCACTCAGCCTGTGCCCAGAGAATCTCAGAACTGGCTACCTCACCCATGTTAACCCTGACGCTCATTTGCAACAAGATCCGACTGAGTGTACGCAAAAGGAATGGCTGGATAACAGACAAATCACAATTCTGCATAAAAGGATTTTATTGAGTGGCCCCGGGTCCCAATGAATGTCAGTTACCGCTTGATTGTGCTGCTGTGTGCCATCACGTGCTCTTCAGGAAGTATGCAAGTTGTTACCAAAAGCTGTTTGCCTTGCAGTGTGCGGAGTAGAGGAAACCCTCACAAACCACTGTTCCTTCATAGGCTTTTTAAAATAGAAAAATGGAAACAAAAAAGAACCTAAAAGGAGTATTCCAAACTAATATCATGTCCCCGTGGACCATTCACCATCTCAGTAAGATGCCATTTTGTGGAAGCATATATGCTCTGTTGGCTCCTCAGGACAACTGGGAGCACTCATGGTCTTGTTGTAAATGCCCAGCAGGTGCACACCAAGCGCTGGGCAGGAGGAAAACGGCTGAACCAGTGTGCTTGTGGGGAAGGTAATCTTTAACCAACTTCCACAGTTTTCAAGATTGTCAAGCCTTTAAACTGAGAGAGAGAAAAAATAACTACAACTGGGCCATACATACATATTGAGGATACAGCCCCTCTTTTGGACATGCAACAAGTGCTCCTCCATTCAACCGGCTCCAAAAAAACTTACTTGTAAATATCCAGCATGAGTTTTCTATTACCTATCCATATTCATATCTCATTGCACTTTCTTGCGGATTTTTCTCCGCCTGAAACATAAAAGCAGCAGGATGAGCCTGCAGGTGACTTGTTTTTCCTTTCAGCATGGCTGAAACCAAAGTAAATTCTCCTCTTGCACTTGGTCTACATTTCTGTCCATAAAGATTAAGGAAATTCATGATGACCAACCAAATTATATAAAATAAAAACTATACACGGCAAATGACAGAAGCCAAAACGACACCAGAGGCCGGCTGCTGCCATATCTCCCCAGGCCTGGCCAGACCACGTCCCCACAAGATGTTCACATTTGGAGCTTTTTTTAAAGTCATAGTGACTCAAGTCCAATTTCCAATGGAGTATTTCACTGTCTGAGGCAGTGGCCTTTCATCAGGTCCACACGGTTGACCACGGAACTTTGATGCAGGGAGTGTTCGTGGGGGAAGCTTGAGCCAACCCGTTGATGGCCCCACGCAAGTCACCCTCTGGCATCTCCACATAGCATCCATGCAATTAGATGACACGCAAGGAGCTGCTCACAATTTCCATGCCCGAGTCATAACTCTGCTTGCGGGCTAGAGCCAAGCCCTGGGGACCCGAGGGCAACCTAGAGAACTGTCATCCTGCTCTCATAACCGTGATTGTCACACCCTCCTGTAGGGCAGGGCGCTCAGGATGTGTGGAGCACGTGGTGGCAGTGGGAAAAGCAGGAGGTACTGGAGGAGAGAGGGACGGGAAGAGACGACCATGCACAAGCCTCTGGCTTCCTGCTCTGTCGTGCATATATTTTCAGTGTTAACAGCGTGGCTTCCAACACCTAAGGGCTTGTGCTTTGCCAGGACAGAAAGAACTCATCCTGGAAAGCTCATCTGGCAGATGTGGACTTGGACATGTTTGTGTGTGTACGCGTGCGTGAGGTGTGTCTCCAGGTTCAGTGTCTGGGCCCCTCTGGTGGCCGCACCACCCTCATCAGCAAGGTGGCCCCGACGGGGGTCACACCTGGTCAGTCTGGTACTCGGAGGCCTCAGACAGGCTTTCTGAAAAGCTCAGGAAGTTCTCCTGGTACTCGGAACACACGATCTCGTAGCGGTAGTGCCGAAACTCCACAGCCAAGGTGCCGAAGTAAGACAAGAAGCACATGACCAGGCCCCACTGGACCCGGGCTGCGTACATGTCGATGTCTTGGGCCATGAGGATGAAATCTGAACAGGACTGGTCAAGGACAGCATGCGCACCAGTCATTGGAGGACAAGTTCCTGGGCAGAGAATCCAAGAAGAGGGAAAGCCTGGGCTGGCCCCTCTCAGGTGCTGCCAGAAACTTGATGTGAGCAGAGATTTCTATAATTAACAACATTTAACTTTTGGGGTACTTTTTTCTTTTTTTATAAGTCAGACAGTCATCTTCCATACACTGGTTCATCTCCCAAATGCCCATAAAAGCCAGGCCCGGGGACAGAGCAGAGCCAGGAGCTTGGAACTCAATGTGGGTGTCCCGTATGAGGGGAAGGACCCGAGGACCCGAGCCATCCTCTGCTGCCTCCCAGGGTGAGCATGAACAGGAAGCTGGACTGGCAGCTCGAGCAGGGGTCACCCCCAGACACTCCTGCTGGCACGAGGGCACAGATGTCATCCCCCAACACTGCTGGTGTCACAACTGGGGCCGGAATGCCCACTCCAGATAACATTAGTGAGCTCCATGTGCCAGACACGCTGCTGAGTTTCCTCCTGAACGATCTTCATCCTTAACAACAATCTTATGTCAGCCCGCTTGCTCAGAAGTGGGGAAGCAAAGCTGAGTGGATACTACTTGCCTGAGGTCGCTCACACAGGCATGAACGGTGGAGCTGGAGCTCATGGAGCTGACTGCCTGGCCATGAGCCTAATCCCTCCACTCTACCGCTGCTTCAGAGATCTGAGACCAGCTAGAAGATTACAATGCTGAAGCAGCTGCTTGGCCAGTATACATAAATTATACAGAGAATATATATAACTTGTACATATTATATAGAGTATATATACTTTATTTTAATGTACATATATACTTTCAATCACTGCAAATGACTAATGGGTTCCTGGTTACCGTAACATCCATGGGGATCATTGCAAAGGTATCAAACTGACAACTCCCCTCCTATAAGCTGTATCTGAGTGTCCTGTGCTCCCCATCATGTCAGGTCTGAGTGACAGCTTGCCTTCTCACGTTCACTACTGGCTTCAGGCTACTTTCACCGCTAGTGTTGCATTTTAAACTTGTGCCCAGATGAAAACAAGCAATTAAAAAAAATAAATGGATGAGTTTCCTAAGCCTGAATGTGTATTCCACATACAAACACCTATATGTTCTTGTCCCCCGAAGGGAAGGGGGCAAGTTTATAGTGTGCTGTTGTTACAAAGCCAAGAGGCTGAGGACTAACTATGTTTGCTTTAGGAACATCAGAACTGTCCCCCATAGCGTCAGTTCTGTCTTCAGAACTCAGACCTCCAATCTTAGGAGATTTCAGAGAGCAGAGCATTGTGTAAAATGGCTTCAGTCAGCTCTGTTTTTACTAGGCCTGGATCCCTCCACCTAGGGACCTGGCTCTGAAGCACTTGATACAGGCTCAACATGTACACTCAGTCTGTACGTTACCTTCTGACCGAGGGGGCAGAACACTGCTGACACGCTATTAACTTACTACTCAAGTTCATGGGGCCGTGGATCCATCTTCAGGTCTCACACTGGCAGAGAGTTTGCGCCTGTTTGACCACAGAATGTCTGAGCAGGCTGCTAACAAGAGGCAAGCTTCTGGCCTCAGTTCCACGCTTTAACTGTAGGACTTCAGAAAACCAAGGAAATGACTGAATGGCACCTGATGAGGGAGGAAGAAGCAAGACTCTAATCATGCCACTAATTAAACAATGTCTCCAAACCCCGAATCTTGGCCTGTGTTACAGCCACCTTCTCTAAGGTCGGATGACACGATGGCTGCTGGTCCAAGTAGGCCCACATTTCAGTCTCAACCTACCAAGTACTACTGGTGTGTTCACAGGCATGTTAAGCTCTACATAATTCATGTTTTTAACTTGTTCAGTCAGGATTAAGAGAGCTGACACCTTTAAAGTATTTGGCATCGCATTCAGCATCCTGCAAAAGGGAGTGTTTGACCTTGGTTAAGCCTCAGCTGGGATGCCCGGGTGAGAATTTCCAACTCCGCTTCTGATTCCAGCTTCCTGCCCGAGAGGCAGTGATGGCTTGGGAGCTGGATCCCTGCTTTCCACGCAGAAGACCTGGACTGAGTTCCTGGCTCCTTGGCTGTGGCCCAGCCCTGCCTGGCCACCGTGGACACAAGGAGAGTGAGCCAGGAATCAGGAGCAAACCTCGAGTATTTGCTTAGCCAAATGACACTCACGTCCACAGCCGCAGTGTGGTTCATGAATTTGTTTTGTTCAGAGCACTTTCCTGAAACACAATTGTCTTTGTCTTTTGAAATTCATTTCCACACTAACAATGTAAGTAACAGGGGCATTAATAAAGTTACAAGTGACATTTGTTTAAGATGGATAAAAAGCCCACCATTCTCTTGGTGATGGATTCTGTGTTTTACACAAAGGGAAATGTCCATGGCATTAATGGCAAGGCGAATGCACGGCACCGTTCTTGCAGACAGCTGGCTCGAGGAGGCATTCCCGACCTCCTCTCCGGCATGAGACTTCTGTTGCAGGGGTTCTGTCTTTCATGCTCACTTAGTTTTTTTGCTCTGAAGATTCTAGATGATCTGACAGGTATCCTAACCACCCCGGGGACTGGCAGTGGGTTCCTTGGCCCCATGTAGCTGTGTGCTCATCTCCCCGGCAAAGGACCTCCTCACATTCAAAGGATACAGAGGACCACACAGAGCGTGATCACAGCCGACAGGATGACGCGAGGGATCCCGGCCCTCCGGCCTTCGTTCTTGATGTTGACTTTGAGGGTCAGCGCGGCCTGGATCCAGCAGGTCAGGGTGCCAAACCCGAAGGTTAAGGACGTGCCCACGTTATGGATCTCCTCATCATTTGTGAGCTGCAGGATGAACACAACAGGGCACGTGGAGGCCCATTTAGAAGACATGTGGGAGGGGCAAGGCGGGAAGAGAGCGATCTCACTCACAGGATGGCAGAGTTTGACCAGGAGCAGAGCCCAGCATCTTCTCTGTCTATTCTCAATGGTGAGGAAGACAAACAAGCAATGTCCCCAACCCTCAGAAACATTTCTCAGAAAAACTATGCTGGCAGTGGTGAGCTTCTCCTTTAATTTATTTTCCAGGAAAGCGTTGTAGAAAAAGAAAACAGGAGAGTTACAGAAATTGGAAATGTTGCGGTTTGTGCCACGGCCTTGCCGTTTAAGCCTCTACTAGTAGTGCTGGCATCCTATATGGACACCAGTTGAGTCCTGGCTGCTCTATTTCCCATCCAGCTCCTTGCTAATGGGCCTGGAAAAGCAGTGCAAGATGGTCCAAGTCCTGGGTTCCCTGCACCCGTGTGAAGGACCCAGAGGAAACTCTTTGTCCCCTGGCTTCCACCTAGCCCAGTCCCCACAGATGGGCGATTTGGGGAATGAACCAGTGGATGGAAGGCCTCTCTCTCCTTCTTTCACTATAAATCTCTTTCAAATAAAAATAAATAAATAATAAAAAATTTCTGCAAATGTACATTCCAAGGTTTGTTTTCCAGGCTAAGAAAATGAGCCCCAGCTTCTAGCTGTGTGCTTATTGGTTGAAGACAGCCAATGCTAAATAGCCAGTGGTGATCGGTGGAGACAAATAATCGGCGGTCGTTTCCTCTAAGAAGGGGCTGATCCTGGCACTGACCCACTCATTGTTAATGGGAAGTGAGTTTTATTTTCCCATAATACTTAGGGAAAGCCCGGCACCTCTGACATGCTGCCATACCTGGAGATCCTGCAAAGCAGAAGTGGATCTGACGAGCCACAGTCCCAGCAGGCGGAAGGAGCCCTTCTGGGATAGTTCCGGTGTGAGTCAGAGATGTCAGGCCCCTCCATCAGAACCTGCGGCTATTTAAGCATCACTGAAATGTCTTTTTATAACTACATATTTTAAAGGATTTATTCTTACTGTTATTTAAAGGCACATTTATTTAGAGAGGAGAGACAGAAAGATCTTCTGTCCGCCCTTCACTCCCTACATGGCTGCAATAGCCACAGCAGATCTGATCTGAAGCCAGAAGCCAGGGGCTTCTTCTGGGTCTCCAGCGTGAGTGCAGGATCCCAAGGCTTTGGACCATCCTCTCCTGCTTTCCCAGGCTACAGGCCGGGAGCTGGATGGGAAATGGAGCGGCTGGGATATGAACTAGTGCCTATATACAATCTCAGTACCTGTAGGTGGAGGACTAGCCAATTGAGCCATTGCATCAGCTCCAGGTTTTTTTTTGTTTGTTTGTTTGTTTTGGTTTGGTTTTTGATTTTTTTTTTCAGATTTATTTTTATTGAAAAGGGATATTTACAGAGAGAAGGAGAGACAGAGAAAAAAGGGCAATTACTAATATTTTTAATTACACTTATAGAAAAATAAAGTCTGCTTAAGGGATGGCTTATGAGCCACAAGGAAAATACTGTTGAAGACAATCACCACTGCCGGGCCCAGAGCAATAGCGTAGTGGTTAAAGTCCTCGCCTTGCATGCCCGGGATCCCACATGGGCACCAGTTCTAATCCCGGCAGCCCTGTTTCCCATCCAGCTCCCTGCCTGTGGCCTGGGAAAGCAGTCAAGGACGGCCTAAAGTCTTATGACCTTGCGACCTGTGGGAGACCCGGAAGAGCTCCTGGCTCCTGGCTTTGGATGGGCTCAGCTCCAGCTGTTGCAGTCACTTGGGGAGTGAACCATCGGACAGAAGATCTTCCTCTCTGTCTCTCCTCCTCTTTGTATATCTGCCTTTCCAATAAAAATAAATAAATATTTTAAAAAAGAATAATAATAAGAAGAAAGAATCACCACTGCCGAAGGTGCAGAAGATGTGAGGAATCCATACTCAGCAGCGACCCGAGGACGGAGGTAGGGCAGCTCGAGGAGCAGCAGACGGGCAACTAGGATCGCGGTCGGAGGCCACACTTCTGCTCTATAAATCCCACCCACCTACTGCCACTGAAGGACCCCTCCTCGCTGGGGCCCGGAGGTGGGTGTCATGACACTCCCCTTCCCCGGCTCATAGCGAGGTGGCGTGTGGAGGGAACTCTTGATCTATCCCAGGACACAGGCTGGAGGACAGAAGCGTTTCTCTCCCAGCTTCCCCATCCCACCCCACTCTGCTCCTGAACATGGTGCACATGTATCCATGAGCCCCTCACCTTCTAAATTTTATGTGTGTGTGTATATATATTTATATATAAACATGTTTAGATATATTCTATCGTTATATATAAATATAAAATATATTTACACAAATTAAATATTTTATATACACAAAACCAGAAATGAATTTATATGTAAATATAATACATATATATGTGTGTTACCATATATAAAACATCACTGCCTGCCCAATTGATGCTGAGGGTCCTGAATGCCTTGGCAGGTCACTTGGGTTTGATTCAAGGTGGCGGGGAGGAGTGTCAAGGTCAGTGTTTGCCTAAAAACAGGCCGTTTCTAGCAGCTGCGGGAACCTGTCTGGAAGGGAAGTCCTTCCACTGCAGAGGTGGGTGATGGTGTTGTCTCAGGAGATCGTGCTGGCAGGCTGTGCCTGTGGGCTTCCAAGTCTCCAGGGAGAAGAGGAGGCACCAATGCACCTTTGTACAAATCACAGCTGTCCTTGCAAACTTGGCCTCCACGTGAACTTGCTGTCTTCTAACAGACACCCCAAGTTTAGTCATAGGAAGGCAGTGATCCTATTGGGGTTCTAGAAAGCCATATTAGAATTTATTAAAGGATAAGCTATTCGGAAATCTTTTGTGCAAAACACGGTCCCTCTAAGTGGCTCATTTCCCCATTATCTGTTACTGCTGGCCCCTAGGAGCGCCCTCACCCGAGGCTGAAAGATCCTCAGTGCAGACCGCCGGTAAACCGGTACAGACCACGGACCCATGACCCTGTCTTCCAAGATTCATGCAAAAATTACAGGGCTGCACGTTGGTGACAGCACCACAGTGACTATGATAACCCTGCACTGTGAGAAGGAGGCGAAAAGGCCAAGGTAAAGTACCTGAAAATTACCAAGTAAGGTCATTCCAAAGGAAGCCAGACACAGCGCCACCAATCCGCTAATGTTCAGCCACGGGTTCAAAACCTTCGGCTTCAGCTGGATGAAGCGCAGAACGGCTACCACCAGGGCTAGGATAAGAGCAGAGTCCCAGCATTAACACACTCCCGGGACGGAGAGTGCGAGGCACACTTTCAAAGCCACAGCAGGCAGAATGCAGTGAGCCACCACCGTCTCCACCTTCGAGCTCTGAAATGACAGGCAGTTTCTCCCAGGTCTAACCTAGCTGCAGGGGGGCAGAGTGGCACTGTGGACCAAGCAAGCCGTGGTGCTTGGCTCCCTGGGCTGATGCCAAGCTTGTGGCCCGAAATAGTGCTGCGCCCAGTTTTCCAAAATGACCTCGGCACACAACAAGACTGCCCAGGAGAGTGCATGCCGCGGGGGCCTGGCACACGACAAGCAAGACAGGACAGGGCTTCATGGATACAACTGTCCTTGAGCTTAGGGGAGCAGCACCAGGTCCGACAGGCAAGACTGAACAAACCTGCCGGGCCCTGGGCAGAAGCCACTGCAGGGCAGGATGGAGAAGGGAAGTCACGGATGCCTGCATCCCTGGTTTCAGGCTCGCTTCCCTGAGTCTACCGTGGGAGTTAGTTGTTCAAGCATGAAGACAGTCGATCTACCTTGGAGTGGTGACAGCAAACGGACTTCTGAAATGTGACTTCCACACAGTGGACATGGGAGTGGGCTTTGTACCTAAAATTCATGTTTAGTATATCAATAAGACTGAATTCTTGCAAATGATATTGATTGACCTTAAAAGGCCACTCTGTTTTTGCAAGAATATTGCTATCAAGACTTTAAGGAGAGAATGGAAGAAGTGAATAGATTTTAAACACGACCTCTAGCAGTAACCTTGGGTCTGTGGGTGAATTAAGCCACTTATCTAAGGGTCATATCTGATTAACTGCTTAATGCAAAGATTTTTTTCATAACTACATAAAAATTTGCAAATGATGAAATAGCACTTGCAATTAATATAAATTAGATTCTACATATATGGAAATGCACTTACTAATTACAAGGAATTTATTCTGACATTAGCGTTCATCAGACAAGACAATTATAAGTTCAAGAATTACCCTATTTTGGGCCCAGAACAGTAGCCTACTGGCTAGAATGTTCTCACCTTGCACACACCAGGATCTCACATGGGTGCCAGTTTTAATCCTGGCAGCCCTACTTCCCATCCAGCTCCCTGCTTGAGGCTGGGGAAAACAGTCAAGGGCAGCCCAAAGCCTTAGAACCCTGCCCCTGCATGGGAGACCCAAAAGAGGCTCCAGGATCCTGGCTTCGGATCGGCGAAGTACCGGCTGTTGTGCTCACTTGGGGAGTGAATCATTGGATGGAAGATCTTCCTCTCTGTCTCTCCTCCTCTGTATATCTGACTTTGCACCCCTCCCACAAAGCTACATTTCCCAAGTATGCTGAATTTCCTGGTTTCAAGCTGTGAAATGCAGCTCTCTGAGCTGACTTTCAATCCTCAGCGCCCCAGATCAAAAAGTGATAGAAAACGATTTGTGGAACCAAAGGTAAACTGTGACTTATGAAATTTCAAATGACTCAGCCTCACTAGTGCCTTTAGTTTGTTTCAGCCAGTGTCCACGATTAGCCAGGGGATTAATAAACAGTATTTGAGGGGCTGGGGCAATTGGTCAGTCCTCAGCTCGCAAGTGCCAGTATGCCATAAGAATGCAGGTTCATGTCCCAGCTGCTCCATACCCGCCCACTCCCTGCTTATGGCCTGAAGCGGAGGATGGCCCAAGGCCCTCGGGCCTCTGCACCCCTGCGGGAGACCCAAAGGAGGCTCCTGGCTGCTGGCTTTGAGTCTCAGCTCCAACTGCTGTGGCCATTTGTGGAGCGAATCAGTGGGTTGAAGATCTTTTTGTCTCTCCTCTCCATAGATCTGCCTTTTCAACAGAAATAAGTGTTAAAAATAAAATGAACAGTAGTTGAGTTGACAACAGTTCTCAAAGTATCAGCCAAAGGGCAAAGGCCACACAACAGCACGTCTGGTTTCTTTTTAAAATGCCTTGTGAAAGGTATCACTCCGGGGTCATTCAGTGCTGTGGGATGGGGTCGCACTGGAACGCGGCTCCACCCTAATCCTGGTTACTGACAGGGCTCCTTACTCCGCTGCATCCCGTCCAAGCACTTGTGGCCAGGGAAGAGCCAGTGGTCGCTGTGCGCTGTGCACTTCCAACCACCCTGGGACATGTGTGATCTGCTAACCGCTTCACCAGCCCTCCGCTTTGGATTGAGCTCAACAAATCCTGAACGTATGAGGGAATTAAGCAAGAAACAGAAATTCATTTAAGGAATTCAACTCTAGAAATCCTAGAATTGCATTCCAAACTCTACACATTGCCCTTTTAGCTGGTAACTCCGTTATGATTACTCAGAGCATACGCTCCTTAAAGTTCTGAATGGTGGAACTAATACAGATTTCAGTCCCATAATAATTTTAACACTCTGACTTAAATAGAGGAAGAATCAGACTACCTGTTGAGAAGTCCACTCTATTTTTATTTTAAATATTCGTCTGTTTTAGGAGACTTAGAGAAAAAAGAGAGGCATGGAGAGAGAGATATTTTTCATCCTCTGCTTCAATCCCCAAACGGCCTCAGCATCCAGGGCTGGGCCAAGCAATGTCAGGAAGCAGGGATTTCATCCAGATTTCTCATGTGGATGGTGGAGGCCCAAGCATTTGTGCATCTTCTGCTGCTCTCCCGGGCACATTTTAACAGGGAGCTGGATCTGAAGTAGAGCAGCTGTGACTTGAACCTGCACCTCTATGGAACTCTGGAATGACAGGCAGCAGCTTAACGTGCTACACCACAATGCTGTTTCCATGAAGCCCATTTGAAACTGAGCAGTGATTTAACTATACTTTCTTGAAAAAGACTTTAAGGCAGGATCACAGTTTCAAAGATACATTTATTTATGTTTAAAGATTCATTTGTTTTTTATCAAAAAGAAAGTTTTACAGAGAAGGAGAGATCTTCACTCCCCAAATGGCCATAACAGTTGGAACTGAGCTGATCTGAAGTCAGGAGCTAGAAGCCTCCTCTAGGTCTCCAACGCAGGTTCAAGGTCCCAAGGACCTGAGTCCTCCTCCCCTGCTTTCCCAGGTCACAGCAGGGAGCTCCTCTGGGCAGTGGAGCAGCCAGGACATGAACCAGTGCCCACGTCAGGTGCCAGCACCCACAATAGGAGGATTAGCTAATTAAGTCATTGCATAGGGCCCCAAAGCTACATTTAGATACACCAACAAACATATATATATATATATATATATATATATATATATATGTATGTATATATATATATTCCACACCTTTGCTCTTTTAATATTTAGAATATTCTTTTCCTTTATAATTGCCCCCTATTTACTTGCCCTTATTTAAATAGGCAGGGATAGAAAAATTGCTGATTCTTTTACATGACATGATTTTGTTAGGGCTGAGACAGTATTTTTGGTTTTCTTTCTTAAAGTTCCAAACTTGCAATAACATCTCTTCACCAGGGTTCTAAATCGATACGAAGCCCACTTCTTCTCCATTTTGTTTCTTGTATTTATGCATCAGGAATTACTGTGTCTGACTGTGGTGGAACATGACAGGCAACCCGTGTCGGCCAGGGAGGGAGAATGGCTGCTGCTAAGTGCCTGGAATCCTTCAGCTGCTCGCTTTCTCCTCCGCGCCTCCCCAGGGCAGGAGATGATCACTTCTTTCAAGAACTCCGTCTTGGGTCTCTAGCCCTCAGCGGCAAGCCAGCAACGGAGTCAGGACGGAGAGCCTCATTCTGCACAGAAAATAACTGCGCCTTCAATCTTTGATTAGTCCATCAAAAAGATAAAAGAGCTCTGGTGATTTTAATAAATGCCACACCGACTCACTGTTGGGCTGTACATGACCATCTGTTCAGCTGCCAAGAAGCAGGACTTACGGGCAGTGTGGATTATTTCTGAAAGTGCATCGAGGACTAAGTCTAAGGTCTAACAGGGGCAGGTCTGGGAAGTTGAGAAGATCCACAGACAAGGGCAGGAGTCTTTCATAAACCGATTCCTTCCTTTGTCTCAATAAATAACTGTGGGTTGGTTCCCATCACACGCTAATCTTAATCAGTTCTGTGTCTACCAGATGGCACTAAAAATGATGAGAGCTAATAAACATTGAATGTTGCAATACCTTCAAGCAACAGCTAGTGGAAGCTTAATTGCTTCATGGTGGAGCAGCAAGGACTGCAGAATAAGACGGTGACAAATGGCATCTGGAAGAGGGGGACTTGTTTTGTTTGGGAGAATGCTTTTATAATTAGTTAATCATAAGCTCGGCACTGCGCCAATGTATTCTTTAGATAACACACTAGAGGCTCTAGGGAAATGTTGACTTGCCTTGAGGATTCCTAGGAAACAATACATAACTTCCAATGTGTTTCTTGGTTTCTTTAAAACCCAGCGCGGGGGAGCTGGTGTTGGGGCACAGGGACAAAGCAACCATCTGTGACGTCAGTATCTCACACGGGTGCTGGTTCATATCCTGGCTGTTCCACTTCCACTCCAGCTCCCTGCTAATGTGTCTGAGAAAAGCAAAGGGTGTTGGCCCATGTACCAGTCTGTCTGGGCCCCTGTGCACACATGGGAGACTCTGATAAAGACCCTGCCTCCTGGTTTCAGATTGGCCCAGCTCTTGGATGCTGTGGTCATACTGGTGGGTGAATGGGTGGATGAATGACCTCTCTCTCTGTCTCTCCATCTCTCTCTCTTTCAATTAAATGAATACATCTTATTAAAAAAAATTTGGAGGACAGACCCTGGTGACAGTTTCTGTATAAAGGTGGGACCCTATGTACTGCGTGCTACGCCTGTGCCTGTATTACAAAAGATGGCCATGAATTACTGTTACTGCGCCCTGTGGGATGCTCAGGTGAGAAGGTGCCAGCCTGCAGGCTTGTGTGTTAGCACCGGGAGGGGCTGGGATAGTCAAGGTTCCCCCAGGGCCCTTGGACTCTGCTCAGTGGAGCTATTCCTTATCAGCCTTTCATGGCTTGGACTGAATGTGCTCACTGGATCTTCTAAGAGCAGTGCTATGGCTTCAGAACAGTTTGCATGTCCCCCAAGGTTCCATATGTTGGAACTTCATCTCCATTGTGTGGTGCTAAGAGCATGGGGATTTAGCCTGACTAGTATTTAAAGGTGAGCCTTTGGAAGGAACTAAGATGTGAGGATCAGTTAATGTCATCAGGGTGTAGTCTCCACGCCTGATTCCTGTGGCTTTCTCAGAAGTGGGACAGAGACAGACAGAACACATATGGTCCACTGCCACTTTGCCACAGGAGGCTCTGAATAGCTTTAAGACTCTGCCAGTGAGAAGTCACTGTCAGATGCAGATGTTGGGACCCAAACCGCCAGTAATAAGCAACCTCTCTTCTTCATAAAGTCCCTTGCCTTGGGTGTCTTGTGATAGTAACACAAAACAGGCTAATATAAGCAGTGTTGAGAATACAAAGTAGTGACACAAACTGGCACCCATTTAGGATGCCAGTCCTTGTAGGCAGAGAGTTAGCCAGTTTGAGCCATCATACTGGCTCCTGCTCTCTCTTTTTAAATCCATTTATTTCACCTGTCAGCCTGACAGGTGCACAGGCATGGGGAAGAGCGTCCATCATCTTTATATGCATACTGACCTTTAGCTTTACAAATAATCTCTATACACATCAATATTTATCACAGAGCCTAGGTATTTTTTTTTCATCTTTTTCAGTGGAGGAATAAATAAAGCACTGCTCTCTAAGCAAACATACTGCACCATATTACACTCTCATGCAGGGTTATATAGCACATGCAATTTATTATGTCATGCAGCAAAAGAAATAAAATTGAGAGCAGCTGAAATGACACACACAGTAGAGGGAAGGAGAAATGTGAGCCAAGCAGGGAGAACATAAGAGGGTTTATGAGAAAATAAAAAAGACTCTTAAGACGAAAAGCTTGGTGCAGCACACTGACATGATACGCTAGTGAATCACCCACTCAGCTGGCCAGTATTTTGATCTGGGCTGGCAGAATTTCCAACAACTCAGGAAAGCACGTCGTGGGCTCTTACCTAGGAAAGCTGCCATGTTCATCACTTGGCTGAACACACAGCTGGCAGGGGGGTCGTCACCTGCAATGCTTGAGAAAGGTGCAATGTGTTACAACTACTCGGTTAACATCGGCATCCCTCCTGGCTTTGCCCAAGATACAGCGAGAAGTACTGGGTTACCTTATGTATGGTGGATGCTTCCCCCCCACTTTCCTGGATAAGAAAAACACAGAAGCTCAGGTTAAATGGTGGCCACGGTGCAGTCAAACCCTGCCGGGGGCGAAAGATGAACAATAAATTACCCTGAGGTCAACTTTACCTTTCAGCTGAATTTAGTGGCAAAATCTTGTCATCTTCCACAGCAATAAAGTATCTATCAAGAAAGAATAATAAGTTTGTGAAGACAATTTTTAAAAAAACCAAAAGTCACTCACTTTCCTGTTTAATTAGACAAGCTGCACTAAACCACACTCACTTTTGTTCTGGCTGAGAAAACACTATAATTCTTTACTCTTAGATGACCTAATTCTTTGAAGTACAAACATCATCATGAAGAATACTTTCTTAATTTTTAAAATATCCTTAGATTAAAACCATGGATTATACTGTAGAGACTGAAAACCAAGAAAGAGGCCTCACAAACTAAGAGCAGGACTCATAATTTCTGATTTTCAGGACTTCATGCTCTACCTTCGTCATTGGACTTCAAGGAACTAAGTGTATTTTCTTAAAGTGAATATTATCTTGAAAATCCAAGTGTGGGGATATCTTGTGGCAAAATAAGGTTTCCAATATGATGATGACCATTTTAGAAACGTATCAAACCTGGACATAAATTGTGACTAGAATCCCTAGCATGTTAGTGTCAAGTGAGAAACTCCTGCCAACAGTGCATTCACATAATTAGTTTTCAAATTGTTCATTATCAAAGGCTACAAAGGAAAAACAGTATTTGTTATTTGTCACCAACTACTTTGCCTAACTGATTACTCATCCTTGTTATTTATTTTGGATGAGAGAAAATGGCGTAAAGAAATGGGGACTTAAGCAAGGTTGAATGAGTAAATGCATTTTAAGGTATTCATAAATACATACATAGGCTAAGCCATCTACTAATCAGTATGTAATTAACACGTTAGCCACACCATATCAGACTCCGGAAATCACGGACTAAGATAATACTCACACGATCCATAGCCCAGCTGAAGTAAACAAAGCAAATACAAGAGGCAGAAACATCCACACGCTGCATTTCTTCCCATCCATGCCTGCACCACTGAAACCAAAGCAAGAGAGATGAATAATTAAAGCAAAACATTACCTCACTTGTTCAAGATGGAAGTTAGTCCTGTTAGGGAAAAAAAGCAGCACATATCATGACATGATGATTCACTGTGGGGTGATCCCTCAGGTGGGAAACCCCTGGAGCAGGTGGCATGGCTGGATGGTCTCCAACATCAACAGAAACACTCCCATGCCTTGGTTGACAGCTAGCAGGAAACTTCTCACAGAAAACATCTATCCTGCAGAACCACCGATGGATTCAGGAGAAGACAGAAGGTCTGGGCTAGGACTCTCAGGAGAAGAACTGGGTGCCAAAGGCAGACTCCTGCCTACTTACAGAGCTATTAACATTTATGGATTTATGGATCTGACACGTACATAACTCTACAGCCTGGCAGACATGAGCGTTAGAAATAAATGGCTCCTAAATAAGTCAGCAGTGCAGGAAGAAGTGACAAATGCTTTGCGAATCTGATTTTTTTTTTCTCCTGAGGTGTTGTTGAACTGCTATCTTGGTCGACTCAGAAGATGAATGCTCTGGACACAATGCATTCTCTGTAATTTTAAATTAGCTTCAATAAGCACATTGGGAAAAAATATATAGATGTCAATCATTTGGGGTGTTACATTTTCTAAAGCAAAAATATATGTGTAAAAATTCTTCAAAATCAAGTGAAAGCTGAAAGTTCTAAAGCTATAAAAAATTACTGGTATCAAACAGAAAGAATATTCAGAACAAACGATCACTTGGCATCTCATCTTTGCTTAAAATCCTAAAACAAAATGTATTTGTGATGCTGGATGTAAACATAATCTATGCAACAAAACTAAAAAGGCAAATCTGAGTTAATAAAGTCCCCGAGTGCCCCTCCACTGGGGATTTGACAATACAAGGGCAATGTGATTAAATGGCACCTTCCTGGATGGATACACCAATCCTCTTTTTTTAAGTTTTTAAATCTGATTTTTAATATCATCGACAGTTGAGAGGGATGAATGGTCGTGTAGGCCTCTGATTAGGGTGAGGATGCTCAGGTATGGAGGAAGGCAGGTGGGACAAATGTTTCAGTTCTTATTTTTCAGCTGTGTCTGCTGAAGGGGGCAGTCAGAGAGGAAGCTGCCTCCTTGCTGTCAAACTACATCAGCATCCAGGGATGGGGGATGGTCATTTGATGATGCCTTAGAGACCCCGATGTGGGGAAGAGTGTTCTAACGGTGTTACTAAAGTGTCTTTGATAGTTCTAAGACATTGTCAGTTTTAATGCACAAGGGTTGCAAAAATCAAGGTCGATTGTCTGACCAAATCCAACTTAGTACCCGACAGGCCCAGACACTTGCTGCAAAGCTTGTCCAGGAGAGTTGTTCAACCTGTTCTACCTTCCACATTCCAACAAGGTACCTGCCGTCCTCTGCTGGCCTAGATGAACTGGCTGCCATGTCCTCCATGTGCATGTGAGCATGATGTCTGTTGCATAGACATTAGCCCTGACTCCTCAGGGCTAGACCTAGACCTGATACATGCACTTCAAGGTCAGACCATATATTTTATGATTTTTTCTTGTGGCCAGGGTTTGAGTCCAGCCATCTAATTGGAGAGTCCCCCAGGAAACCTCACCCAGGGAATCCTGACTTGACTCCTGTGTGCACCAATTAGTATAGGGTCAGGATCAGTCCTTTACCTGCACCAGCCAGCACACACATGGGTGGATGCAAATGCCTGGTCAGTTCTGCTTCAGTCCCATCTCTCACGCAAATTGTCGGGTGCCATGGCATAACCCAGCCCTGTCTGCCACAGGTCTAGTCTTCATGCACACCAGCAGGTACAATAGCTTAATTGGGATTATCCCCAATTAAACCCACCAGGCCTAGCACCAGCCCTGGTTTTTGAATGTACCAGCATGTGCTGTGTCCTGGCCTGGCCCAGCCCACATATCACATCTGACTCGTGCATGCCCATGGGTGCTGCAGTTTAGCTCAGCACAACCTGCCCCAGATCCATCACACACATAAACAGATGGGTATTGCTGCCTTGTTCAGCCTTCCCCGCCCCCAACTCCCCGCCAAACTCTCGCTCTCATGCTCACCAGTGAGAGCTGTAGCCTAGCAGAGGAGTTCCCCAAGTTCCCGTACCAGTCCCATTCCAGCCCTAGATCTGACATGTGTTAGCGGGTGCCTCAACTCAGCCTGGCATGACTGACCCCAGTCTCAACTCTTGCCAGTGAATGTTGCAACCTAGCCCAGCCCAGCGTGGCCCAAACTCAGTCTAGCTCAATGATCATTATTTTGAAAAAAAAATTAAAAGGTTTATTTATTCGCTTGTTTAAATGAGAGAGAGAGAGAGAGAGAGAGAGAGAGAGAGAGAGAGAGAGAGAGAGAGAGAGAAAGTGAATCTTCCATGTGTTGGTTCACTCCCCAGTTATAATGGCTGGGACTGAGTTGGGTGGAAGCCAAGACCAGACCTCCATCCAGGTTTCCCCCATGGTTGGCTTCTGTCTCTGCTTTCTCCCAGGTGCATAACAGGGAGCTGGATCAGAAGCACAGCAGCCAGGGCTCAGAGCAGTAGGATGCCCGTGTCATATCAACACAGCTCCCAGTTATTTTGAGCTTTACAACTCATTGCAGCAACGCCATTTACTGGTGTTAACCCAGCACCGCCACAGTTCCGAGTACTAGGTGACATATGTTTTATCGGGCTGGGACTCTTGGCACCTTGTCCAGGTGTTGATGCCAAGAGTAGGAACACAAGATTGCCTTTGGGACCCTGAGCCAATTCTTATGCAGGGTTTCTAGAGCTCTCAGTCCCCAGAGCTGGTCTACCCCATTAGGGAAATCTTTCAGACCTGGAAACAGACACGGCCTTGTAGAGTCATGCCTTTGCTGAAACACATATGTGGCCAGTAGCATTACATAAAATACAGTACCGAGGAGTTGAAAGACACCAGAACCACACTTTCCATCAACTTAATTCAAGTCACAATTATTAACACTCTGTGGTGTAAAGAATTGTCCAACCTGTTCTACCTTCCATTTTCCAACGAGGCACTTGATGTCCTCTGGGTGGAACCACCCAAGTAAGGTGTAATGGATGGAGGTATTTACACATGCCAGATAATACCACATATGCAACAATCCTTCTCAACCAAGGGGGATACCTGCCAGAGCCCCCTGATGGATGCCTGAAGCTGTGGCTGCACTAAGTCCTACAGGGACAACGCTTTGCCCTTTATTAATATACATGTCCACATAAAAGAGGCACCTCATCTCTTCTCTTTAACACATCCAAATACACAACATGACCAACTTCACCACTTTTGTGTCACTGTTAAGTCCAATAAGGGCTACATCAACACAAGTGCTGTAATACCAATCAACCTGGCAACAGAGATGGCTACTGAGTAACTAAGCGGAAAAAGGGGTTCCTACAATGTTGTCAGGCTGGACAAGGACCACAAGGGTGACAGAATAAAATAGGATTACAGTTTATAAAGGTCATGGCTTCCCAAGCTCATACAAATGTTTAAATTCCTCCATTGTGGGCCCTGTGCAGTAGCCTATCATTGTCTGCTAATGCCTAATGGCCTAAGAATTGATGAGTTCCAGTGGAAGCCTGATCCACATTGAGTGTCAAGGTCTCGGGACTTTGGAAAATGATTGGATTGCATGAGGCTGCCATGGTAAGAGCCTGCTGCTCAGATCCTCATGGCACTGTAAGGACAGACCATGACAGCATGCTACTCCCAGGGTTCTCTGTGCTTCCTGACATACCATGTACTTATTTCAGTACAAGCCTCCATCAGACGCAGGACAACTGGGCCTGCCAGGTCTGAATGCCAACCTCCCAACTGCAAGCTTAAATAAGCCTTGCTCCTTCCTAAAGAGATGCCTCCAGGCACTCGGGTTACAATGATGAAAAGCCTAGTACACAGGACATCATGGGGAGTCACCACACTCCTTAGCATGACATATGATTTAAACCTTAGGAACCACCCTGGGGAAACGAGGAGAAAGACAGGGAGGGTTCAGAGCACAATTAGGACGGATGAGAACCTGCTGACCACCCGGAGGGTGCCATCCTCGGCAGGGGTGGGCAAGACCAGTGTGCTTCGGAATGATGACTCCCGGTCTGTACAGGTGTGAGCTGATGTTCCTTGTTAAACAGGGTAACTGATGAAATGAACCAGAAATACACTGAATGAGAAATGACGCAGTAAGCATGCTGCTGGGAAATTCCATTGAAAGGGAAAAGCATAAAATCAACAGACACAAAAGCCTGATATTGGCACAAAAGCAGTGCGCATTATTCACAGAGGCAAGCACGAGAGCCTGTGATGCAATCCCATGTGGCTTTGAGGAGCTTGTGGAAGGAATCACTCAAAGAAATCATCGCATCATCACGGGTGATCCAGAGCACAAGGAAGCAAACCCCCACCTGGAGGACAGGGGCAGCTGCCTGCAGTGGTTATTATTCCAGATTGTGAGCGCTGGGAAATCCCATCTCTTGCCTATTTCATCAGAGAGTGGCATCTTTCTGTTCTCAAACCCTTTAACTGCTATTTGGGAGTCCTTGCGGTTTGCAAATAATCGTTTTTGCACCAAGGGCAGTAAGTACTTGCAAGAAATCCCATGCACCTATCCCAGGTCAAATGTTACAGTATAAACATGCACAGTTTGCACATGGCAGATTTTTACATCACATAAAACAGGTGTTCCTTTCAGAGGGCACTGGAGTTTATGATTTACATACAGAACTTTAAAAAATTCATCTATTAGTATATGCTGATACAATGTCTGCTTTGGTCTGTATTCAGCTTAAGTACTGGATTACCTGGTGGGTAAAACTCCCAGAATGCAGAGGAGATACAGGGATATCATCAGACCTGACCAATTTCCCTTCAGGAATGAGTGAGAATTCAACATTTGTTAAGGATATTCAAGATTTTCTTTTAGTGCTAAGCAAAACTCTTGCCAGAGAATTTAGTCCAGTTCAATTCA